ATTAGTATACGGTAGCTTTGTTGAAAAAAATGTCACCCGTCTCGAATTTTCTTTGTAGTTTCGACCACTTTTTGAGCGTGGAGTTTATACTTTTCAACTCCTTGAAACAATAGTGAAGCCCAGCACAAGGCAATGTTCAGGCCAGATCGACTTCCCAAAAAAGAGACGGATTGGATCAGAGAGCAAAATTTTGAAATTCTTTTCTACACCAGATAATTTTATTTTAAAAAAATCTTTGAGCTACAGCTTGATTCGGTTTAATTTTACCTTCCAATGTAGAGGAAGCGTATATCCCTCCTTGCCAATCAGCGTCACAGAAATACTGGTTATGAAGGTATTCCTTGTTCCTATACAGTACCACAGAGGATCCCTTTGGTGCCAGTCCGTACTGCAACTCTCAACTGAGCAATATATGGTTAAGTCCAAATAGGCAAACCTTATGCGTATCAGCTGATATAGAGCAGACACCAGGAACTCTGAAGTCGAAAGGCTGCGCATTATCAATGAAAGCTAAGAGGAAACCTCCCAAACAAGCATCAACATGGACTGGGATATTGTACTGAAATGAAAAAATTGCACGGATTTGATTTATCTTTGGCAGAGAAGAAGATAAATATTTAAAAAGCACTACACCATACACTACGTTTTTGTCGACATTAAATTATATTAAAGGACGCAGAACACCGTAAGTGAATCAGTGCTTTTTATAGAATTAAATTTTTTTTCCTCTAACACCACTAGGTAGCTTTGACCTACTGCTAATCCGAGTTTTCCTATTGCAACGATATCGTCTACAGTGCCAAAGGGAAAGTTTGGAGCGGAGCCGACGAGCTGAAGGCAAAGTTGAAGGTACTTTACCAATAGGTGCTGCAATTAATAATGACTATATAAACTACCATGCATGTTCTACTCGTTATCGCAGCTTTCATCTTCTTCACATCAACTTTAAAGGTCTGAGAATCTACCGGGACGCGTACAACTCGTATTCGAAACACTTCAGCAGCTTTTGTAAAAGCAGCATGAGCTGACGTTGGAATTATCCTAAATTATATATTATTATAGGATTTCCAAGTGGAATTTCAGTTAAACAATTGACATTTCAGGAAAG